CCCCCTGTTCGGCTAGTGGTGTTAGGCGGCAGGGGTTTCGATGCTATCCGTCTCGTCTAATGGTGTTAGATGAGTTAGGGGTGCGGCCGGTGTGGGGTTGATTGTGGCTCTCTCGGTTAAAGACGGGTCGATTTCTGGGATTGGTTAGGGGTTCAGTTCGTTTCTACTGTATAGGCCTTCTGCAGTTTCGGTAGCGGCTTCTGGGCCTTGATTCTTTCTTGGGTCGATCGTTTCGTTTCGTCGGCGAAGGGCTCTGTTTGTTTTTGTTTTGTTTGTTTCGTATGCCAGTTTTTGTTGTTTTGTTCGTTTTGTTCTGTGGGTGTGTGTATCGTTTTAGTCATTGTATTTTTTGTTTGGGCCGTTGGCATCAGTTTTCATTACTCTGTTGGGGGTTGTCATTACTCAGTTGGGGGACTTTTAGTGTTGTTTTCCTTTTGAGTGGTTTAGTTTGGTGGTGCTTAGGTCTCATAGCTTTGTCTATGCCTTTAGTACTTTATTAGTGTTTGGTCTAGGCCACTTAGATGGTGTGGTTCTCCAGTTGGTTTTGTAAGGATTAGTGAGTCCTCCGATTTGTACTTTTTTCTTATTGTTATGAGATATCTATATTTAAAAAGAAAAAAAGAAAAAGAAAAAAAAAAAAGACATATCATATAGAATCAATGTGGGACAAATTGGTGGGCTACTCCTCTCATCTTGGTAAGTTTCTATCCCAAAAATAAAACTATTGTTATTGATTTATTTTATTAAATAAATAAGTTTAATTATAATTTTATCGACTAATATCATTTATATAATATTTATTTTTGGTTGATAGTTGTTAAGTTTAATTTTAGAAAATTAAATATTACACAAATGATCTTTGTTTTTTTATTGGAATTGTCATTAATTCCTCTACATCATATCATCATGAGATTATACATAAAGTAAACAAATGACTATTTTTCCCATGTCATTTAACCATACAAATCATTATCGTTAAATTTTATGGAATTTTTATTTCAAACTATATGAAACTAAAATTGACCTTTTAAATTTTGCTTCATTCACGGAATTTGAATAAATTTTAAAATTTATTAAGAACTTTTGAAGCTCATAGTAAAATGAACAAAATGTGGCATAGTTTATCAAAATTTTTAACAACTGGCATAGTTCCCTTAAAATAGTCAGTTGCGAATAAACCGGTCAACATCCGACCTTTGACCGATTGAACCGGTCAAACAAGTAAGGACTTGTAAAAACACTAGCCCGATTTTATTTTCTACTCATGTTTTCTTATAAAGTTAGTCTTAATAATATTAGTATATATAAAATGCGTATTTATACATTTTGAATATATATTAATATATTATATCAATTAGAACAATTAAATGTTCTAAATTATTTACGTTTTGTGATAAAGTTACTCTTAACATTTTAGTATAAGTAAAATGCTTTTTTATACATTTTAAATATGTATAAATTATTATATCAATTAATTGAGTCAACTGAATGTTTCAAATTATCAAAGATTTGATAAAAGATGCTTTTTATATATATGATTTAATAGTAAAAATATTATATATATATATATATAATAATATTAAAAAGTTAATTCGACAAAACAATTAAACAAATTACTTGACTACTTGACTGGTTCGACTAGTGTTCTGATTTTCAGAACCTTCTCAATACTCAATACATAGTAAAATTTTATTTCTTTTTAATATGTTTTGACCAGAGAGCAAGCTTATCCAATTAGCGTACACAAAATTTAAATTTTAAAACAAATCAATAAGATCATTCGGCGCGGTTGGCGGAGTCCAACCCGATTGGACTTTAGCGAGTGACTATTCCTTCCCCATGCTTGGGCCATTGAATGGATCACGATAGTAGGGGGGTGTCACTCCCCCGTCTCGTACTAGTTTAAGCGTTTTGTTTTACTTTGTACCAAAAAANNNAAAAAAAAAAAAAAAACAAAAAAAAAAAACAAATCAATAAAATCTTATTATTTTGGTCTATATTGATGGGTTCAGCTTTGACTACAGTTTAGCATTTCATATTTCTAAACATACAATGGTGCAAAATAGAAAACAATCAGGTTGCTGTGGTGTAGTGGTTATCACGTCAGTCTTACACACTGAAGGTCCCCAGTTCGATCCTGGGCAGTAACAACTATTAACTAACATTTTGTAATTTTTTTTTTTTTTTTAAAGAAAGAAACACACAAGTGTGTATTTATTATAGATACACACAGCTTTTATTTAGATGCATAAACTTAATGGACCAAATGCAAACACCTTCGTCTTCTGATCTATTTCCCCAATTCAATTTACAAATAAAATAACAGGTACAGTGTCTAATAGTGTAGTAGTATATTTTACTTAATTGTCCGTTGCTATTAAGTTTGTTGCCCGCAGTTTTGCTATGCAGTCATCGATTGGCTCAACTTATGGAGTCATCTACACTTATTCACCAATAGTATATTGACACGTGTCCTACAATAAATATAATTTAGACATGTGTCAACACATTAAGTCATGGATGACCCCATAAAAAAAACTATCCAATAACTTCGTAGAATTTTTGTTGTTGCGCGATTTAATACTAGTAGAAAATTATTCTGAAAACATCTATTGAGATAAGCTAGAATAAAAATTTTATTTATACATTTAAAAAGGGAAAATTCCATTGTAGGGCCTGAATTTTTGTGTATCGTATAAGATCTACATTTTTAACTTTTTCAATTGAGGGTTTCACTTTTAACTTATTTTCAATATAAGGCTTATTTTTATATACTACTTTTCAATTTAAGGCTCCAAATCACTTTTTATTTTGACATAATTATGTGAACCATAATACTTTTTTGAAAAACAAAAATATTTTTAAGCACTTATAATAAAAAATATTCAATATCTTAATAAAATTATCTAATACGATAATTATTTCATAATTTATATTTATCAAAAGCTTAATGAAACTTATTTTAAAAGGTAAAAAAATAAATTTTAACTTAATTTTAATCTAAATCCTCCCTATATCCTCCCTATATATTATTCCCGAATACGGTGAGCCTACATGACTGCTTCTGGTGCTTCAGAATCCTACTTGACAAAGAATCATGCTTCATAATTAGGTTTGGACAAATAATATTGATATATTAATAATTAATAATCTAGGTTCGGACATTCCATAAATATTAAATAGCTAACTTAGGTATTTTATTATCACTTGTACTAATATAACCCTTTAAGTCTTTGTAATTTTACATAGTGATGCATTAAGTGACTAATATATCCCTGACCTTTGATTTGTTTCCTTCAATTAGTTATTTAATTGTAAATGTATTTTAAAAGTTCATAACTTTTTTATTTTTTATCGGTTTTACATATATAATATATCAAATTAATCATCTTTTGATGATTTTCGATTTGACATCCATATTGTATATATGAAATAAATAAATTATATTTATTTTTATAATAATAAAAAATAATAATATTTATTAAAATTCATTAGAAAAATAAAAATTATTTCTCAATTAATATATTTATGTTTAATATAGTTATATGTTGTAAGTTAAAAAATTACTATAATATAACATAAGTAAGTCACACAAATAAAAAATGTCATACTAAATATATAATAGGAGTTTTTTCAATACAAGACCTGAAAGATAGGTAAACTATCAATTCGTGGCCTGAAAGATTTTTTTCTCAATTCGGGACCTGAATATTGTAAAACTATCAAATTAAGTCCTACAATTAACAACACTCATAAAACCATTAAATTGAAAGTTAATTTTAAGTTTTTAAAACACTAAATTTGAAGAAAAATAAAAAATTGTTGCTTACTCATATAAAATAATAAGTAAATATTTGTATAATATTAAAAAAAAACAAAATTTGGTGTTTTAAAACTTAAAATTAAATTGAGTTTAATGGTTTTATAAGTGTTGTTAATTGTAGGACTTAATTTGATAGTTTTATAACATTCAGGTCCCGAATTGAGAAAAAAAAATCTTTCAGGCCCCGAATTGATAGTTTACCTATCTTTCGGGCCTTGTATTGAAAAAACTCCTATATAATAATATATATATTTATATAAAAAGTATTTAAATTTTCAATTACTTTTTCTCATTAATTTTAAATTTCAAGAAAAAATTAGTAAGCACCCGTGTAATACACGGGCGTTGTACTAGTATGAAAATAACATTAAAAGTAAATTATTTAAAAAAATAAGTTAAAGTAATTTTATTAACGATGTTTAAAATTAGTTAAAATATAAAATTTAAAATAATGGTATTTTAATTTATGTATTTATGTAAAAGTATAAAGTTAGTTGGTGTCTTAAAATGAGAACTAGAATGTAAAAGTAAGCCTTTAATTGAGAATAGCTTAAAACTGATCCTCAAATACAAACATTGAAAACTCAGGTCTTATTGTGACATAATAACTAAAAGTCAAGCCCTACAATAGAATTTTCCCCATTTAAAAATACTTCTACAAATATAGCATTAATAGTAGATGAGTTTTGTTCATTATCACCAACAGTAATAACAATAATTAGACACCATAGGTTTGTGACTCTATAATAACAATATATAATTGTCAGTAACTAAAAAATATAATATGTACTTTTTTATTCTTAAAATTTTTAAAATTAAATTCATAAACTTACACAAATATGTAATACACCATGAAAAAAAATATCGGTCACATTACTGAAACTCTTTCAAAAATTTTCATAAAAATTTCTAGGTGATAACAAATTTTCATAGTTCCCAAAAATATAAAGTCATAATTACTAGTCAACAAATAAACTAATATAGAGATAATTTAAGTTAACATGTACGAAGATAAGCAAATTAAAATTCATAAATATAAATTATATACTTAAGAAAAAAATAAAACGAATTCTATCCGCATGTATTTAGCTTGAATTACGATCACATATTTTTCACCTTTTTATTAACAAGATAAATCTCAACACTTCTTTTACTTTTGTAAAATAAGTGCGATGGTGATTAGAGAATGACGTGAAAGATTGATCATTTTTCGTAAAGTTATAATAGCCCCAATAATCATTAATGTTCATATCAATATTAGAATGCTTATTTTTTCATATGAAATCAATGAGAATTATTATTCAATTTAATTTTTAGAAATACACATTGACAAAATTTTTGTAAACTAATACGAAAATGACAATTAACTACATTATATGAAATCTAAAAGAAAAAAAATATATACTTTTGTAAATTTAACATTATGTTATATATATATATATATATATATATATATA